CCGCCTCTGTGCCTCTTATGTACGTCCTCTCTTGGGCCTAACAGCCCTTTGTGCAACCAATCTCACGACCTCACTGCTGGCGGCCCGCACCGCAGCCGCCCCCAGCCCCCCATGCCGCATCGCCGACCCCCGGCAAACAAAGGCGATGGCTGCGTCGTCGCCGCCGCAACGCACGCGGCGCACCCCAGAAAGCAGCGCCGCGTGCTGCGGCGGCGCGGGCACAGCAGCAGCGGGGGCGCCCGCGCGGGGGCCGCCCCCGCGTCCCTCCGCCTCCCGCCGCTGCTCCTCCAGCGGAGCCTGCTGGAAGAACTGGAAGCAGGTGCCCCTGGACTGCCCGCGGACTGCCCCCGCGGACTGCCCCCTGACTGCCCGCGGACTGCACCGCCTACTGGAAGAACTGGAAGATGAGGCCCTCCCCCTTGGCGCATGAGTAGAAGAAGGGCGCGAACACCAGGGACTCCACGGCCATGAGCTTGATGAGGATGTTGAGGGAGGGGCCGGAGGTGTCCTTGAGGGGGTCACCCACGGTGTCACCGATGACGGCGGCCTGGGGGCCGATGGCGGTGGTTGTTGCAGGGCGTGTGGTTGGGAGAGGCAGGATTATGTATTTGGTGGGGTCGGGGACGTTTGGGAGTTGGTGAGTGGGTAGATTGAGGGGATCGGGGATGGTGTTGGGAACGAATGCTGGCGGGTGTCTCTTGAGGTGATGATGTATATGTGTGCGTGTGTGTGTGTCTTGTGTGTGTGTGTGTGTGTGTGTGTTTTGGGGGGGGGGGCATGTGTGTCGAGGCGGCTTTCATGGGGGCTGAGGCCCCTAGCCGGCGGCGTCACGTCACCAGGATCATCCCAGACGCCACCAACAGCGGCGCCCCTACAGCTCCATTTCAGTCTTCACTCTGCGGCGCGCCGCCAGCCCCAAACACCCCTTCCCCCTGCTCCCACCTCCCCACCAAGGCAACCCCGCCTGCAAGAGGCGGCCATCTGAGGGGCCCGCAACATCGCCAACACGCGCCCCCACCTCCCGACCCTTGCATGCAGCCTCCCAAAGCCCATGCGCGCCCTCCAAACCCCTTGCGACTCCCCCTTGGAAAACCCATAAATCGGCCCGACGGACCTTGTGGCAGTCGGAGCCCTTGCCGCCCAGGTCGCGCGCGTGCTCGCTGGCACCGGCCTGCGGGGGTCGGTGGGGCGCGTGCGGGCCGGAGCGTCAGTGGCGGCGGCGGCAAAGGGGCGCTGTTGGGTGGGGTGTTCTCTGGAGGGCAGAGCAGCGCAGAGGCAGAAGCTACTCGAGTCGAGATGGGGGGGTCCCGCTGCCAGAGAGCTTGCCTCGAGCTGCGGCACCCCGAGACCACCCTGACGGTGCGCGATGCGAGCCACTGGTGCTCGAATCTGCCCCTACCCCACCCCATCCTATTTCTTTTGTGTGGATGTCTCGCACCCGCCAAAAACCTCCAATAAGCAACAATTTAGTGCCTCACCTCGATGTACTTCTTGGCGTTGTCCCAGGCGCCGCCGGTGTTGGACATGGACACGGCCATCTGCACGCCAGACACCAGCGCGCCAGCCAGCACACCCGCCAGGCAGCGGGTGCCGAACAGGCTGGGGGAAAAGGGGTAAATTATGGGCAGGGGGCGTTTAGGGCACCATGCCAGCTTGTCGCGGAAGGTGGGGCCAGGGTCCGTCCTTGACGGGCT